AAATTAAAGCTAAAAGACTCTATTTTGTGATGAACTACAAAAATTATGGGGTTTGACAACAAGAATTACAAGAAAAATGATTCTAAACAAAAAAACATTTTATTTAAACATGTAACAAATAACTTATTTCTGTTTAATTATTTTTATGTCCTTGCATAGGGTAGCGAATATTGTCATTAGAAAGTAGATGTGGAAAACAACCTCGTTTTTGTCTAATTAAAACTACCTCAAAGTGCAAAATTGGTATATAAATTTAAATATTAAGAGTAATTATAACCTTTTTGAGTGTTATGATCTTGTATTGGAGAAGATAAAGGTATTGCTAAATTCATGGATACTATTAAGATGAAAATCTTAGATTTCTCTATTTTATAAATAGCAGTTTGATATCAAGGGATACCTGAGGTGGATTTTTATTGCAGATTCTATGTTATGTTTATGTTTTAATTCAAAAGAAATTGCCGCAAATACAAACGTTTGGGAATCACTGAAATTACAAAAAGATACAAAAAATCGTATAAAATATTGCATACCTCGCAATAATAACAATGTTCGATCATAAACTTTGGTTTTACAATCTTTTAAAAGGCATTTAACATTGTATTCGTATAATGCTTGGAATACATGTTTGGAATTAATACACTGGAATAAACAATTATTTATGATTTAACTTCTCATTTTAAAGGTTGTAATAAAACTGTCAAATTTAATTTGGTTAAATTCTTTATTGTGTTAAAATTGAATCAAACGCAATCTTATTTTTAATTTCTACAAACGCAAACTCCATTAGAACAAGATCCACCTTTCTTACGTAAAACAAGACAATGAGCAGCACAAGCAGAATGATTAATTGCGATTCCTTTAGCTTCAATACTTAAAAGATCACATGTTACCCTTTTCTGTCTGATAATTCCTTCTGTAAATACAAAGAAACAAACATATTAAATCTATCTTAAAAATAATGCTAATTGTAGTAATTAAAAAAGAATTATCACCTTCTTGATCTTCAGGTTCTGGAATTGGGTTACTCAAAACCATGTTTAAGCACAAAGCAACGATTAATGCGATAGCCAAATATTTTGCCATTTTTTAAAATGTAGTGTTGAGACTTCCTTTGTAGGTAGAACAGGATTAGATGTTGATCTGACAAGAAGAGATCCGCGTGGAGTATATATACTCAAGTCAGAGACCGGGTTTGTGCATACTAATAAATAGAAACAAAGAGATTGGCGCACGGGGATTCACTCTTGAACTGGGAAGCCCAGTCTTATCAATAGAAATTCTCTTGAAACACTATTATGGTATACCATTGACTTGTATTTAATTATTTTTGTGTACACAGTGTTTTTTAATAGATGTTATTCAACGCCAATTTCAAGGATCTATTAAGTGATTCGCAATAAATGAACGATCATGACCATAATTATGACCACAAAATATACCTACATATTATATAAATTAAATGATTGATTTAAATTCAATCTTTAAGGATTAATTAAAAGTTTTAATTTTTAATTTAATTAAATATTCTTCTAGAACATTTTCTAAGAATGTGTTTACGTCAATGGAGTGGATATATAAACCGGTATAATTTGTAAACAAATATAGAACTGCTCCAATTCTTGTTAGAATAAGAACAACCATGAAATTAAACTTTATTCTTATTTTCGTGTTGTTAGCCGTAACCCTAACAATGGCTTTCGATCAATCTCAACAGTCCCAATTAAGAAACGAAGGTGAGAAGTGTTATTTTTAATTTGCTTAACGGTATGTATAAAAAAATCTTTTTAAATTTTAGCTACAAGAATTAAAAGAAGCACCCCAAGATATTGTTGGTCTTGCAACGAACGTTGTTCTGTTATAAAAAAAGTTGCAATTTGCGATGAAGTCGTGGGGACATGTAAATGTGTAGAGAAGCCATAATTACCGATGCGCCGTAAGCAAAATAAGTTAATTAACAAGTTTCTAATTATTGCTTATGTATTAATATTTATGATAATTGTTAGCGCTTTATAATAAATATGAACAAACACTATAAGGACTTTAATTTTAGTTGATTATTATTTTATTTATTTATTTTTTATTTCATAAAAATGTATTTAAAAGCTAAAAGACTCTATTTTGTGATAAATTATAAAAATTATGGGGTTTGATAACAAGAATTACCAAAAAATGATTCTAAACAAAAAATATTTTATTTAATATGTAACAAATAAATTATTTTTATGTCTTCTTCTGCTTGCAAACACAAATTCCTCTTTGACAGGACCCACCTTTTTTTCCATGTATTTTGCAGTGCATAGAGCAGCGAAGATTGTCATTAGAAAATAGATGTGGAAAACAACTTCGTTTTTGTCTAATTAAAACTATATCAAAGAAAAAAATTAGTAAATAAATTGAAATATTAATAGTAATTATTACCTTTTTGAGTGTTATGATCTTGTATTGGAGAAGATAAAGAGATTGCTAAATTTATGGCTATTATTAAAATGAAAATCGTAGATTTTTCCATTTTATAAATTTCTTTAAATGCAAAACGTTATCTGCGTTTTTAAACGTTACTTATCGAATACAACTTCTGAATGACTTTATATAATGGAACTGAACCGTATTGGTGTAAGAAGGATTAAAAATGGGGATTTCCAGTGGCTATGTTACATATATAATATTTTCTACTCGAAATATGGCATGGCATTCATACAAAATATAAATATATATGATTTAAAATCTAAGAAAAAGATTGTTAGCAACCTTGAAAATAATTTTTACTCAAATGAACATTTGGATAATAAAAATATTTTAAGTAACCCAAAAATTAATCATGTATTTATCGATTGCTAAATAGTTTATATAATCTCTAGAGTCGACTATGTTATCGCAACTCTGTATTAATCTTACAATAAACTGCAGATGTAAATACGGAATTTACAGTGGGGTTATCTCCGTATTCTGGAATAACCATGCTCATGAAACTGTGTATTTCCCCAAGTTCGTTTACGAGTTATTTATTAAAACCATTCTCCAACACATATAAATGCTTAAACTTCTAAGCCGATAGCTTCAATACAGGCACAAACTTAAAGAGACACGTTACTAAAGCTGTCATCTAGAATAAAATGGAAAGAGTAACTTTGATTTCGTTATGTATCGCTTTGTGTTTAACATTAACTTTGACTTCACCGATAGCAGACATCGATATACAAGAAGGTAAACATTTTATTTTTTATTAACTTTAATTATGATAAACATGTAACTATATCGTATTAATAGGTGAACTCATCAGACAAAAACGTGTTACTTGCGATGTTTTAAGCATCCAATTTGCTGGATTCTCGGTGGGCCATGCAGCATGTGCTCTTCATTGTATAGCATTGAAAAAGAGAGGCNGTTACAAGATGCCAAAAATGCATTGATAACAATGGCATGCATTTTGAACAATTTTTAAATTAATTGTGTTTATTTTTGTAATGAGTTTTTTTGATAAATTTGTTTCATTTTGATTCTTAATTAGTTTTCTGTTTGTTTTTTAACATTTTTCTCTTGTAATTTCCATTTTTTTAGTATACTATTTAATTTATTATTAAATGTTACTTATCTTTTGAATGATTATTTTAACTTAAATTTAATTAAATTTTTTATTACTTTAATGAGAAAACAAGTCAAGAGACGAAATCGTAAATAATTTGTGTTATTGTGTTAGCCCAAAATCCTGGTAAGTTTACATCTTCCATAGCCAACTTAAAATTTTGTTTTTTATTTGTAGGTAGCGCTTTGCCGCGCAATGTAACATATTTTATTTTTTTACGCAAAAACTATCAATTTTAAGAGAAAAACTAAAGAGACAAAAAAGAACCACTAAAGAATGAGCTGTACAACCCATATTTTTCTATGTTAATATTGCATTGCGTTAAAAAGTTCTTCTAAAAAGAACCAAGGGGGTGGTGAATTTCATCCCCTTAGAGGGCGCTAGGGAAGCTTAAGGTATGCTAGAAAACAAGATGTTAACCAGTAGTAAATACATACCAAATTTCAAATTCTTCGGTTTACTTATAGCCGAAATAAATAATAAAATGTAAATTTTTAGCTCAACTTTGATCGCTCATAGCTCGAAAACAAAAGAGTTGCGACCCTATGTTTATATAAAAAACTTGTGTTATTTTGGCAAGTACTACGTCCTAGTAAAGTTTCCCGATTAAAAACTGAACCACCCTGTATAATATTTTCTACTCGAAATATGGCATGGCATTCATACAAAATATAAATATACAGGGTGTCTCAGCGAGACCGGTCATTAGACGTTTCTGGGATTCTGGCCAAACTAAAAATTTGAGAATTCAGACTTAAATATTATCAATTACGATCTCTTCGACTAAAATATTTTCAGATTTCTTGCACTTCCGGTTATACCGGAAATCGCCACCTACTTTATTTTTTTAAAGGGAACACCCTGTATATTTTTACATATTTGGATTTGTCTGTTTTCAAGGTTTATGAATAACTTTACTTTTTGCAATTTGATTCGGTCGTTCTCGAGTTATTCGAATTTTTCTAGAAAAATCTGCTCCAGCAGACATTTGTTCAAAAAATCAGAAAACACTCAATTTTTGGGATATCAATTTAGGATTGAGAACATGCTTAAGCAACATGATGGAGTATGTTTTGGTGCCGAGAACTGCGGTCTAGAACGTTTGATCACTTTACTATGGCACGTTAACTTTTCAAAATTTGGAAGTACCATAACTTCATTTTTTTAAATGGCACCCCCCATATTTTATTTTTTAGTCGTCTTCGGTGTCTCATTCTACATCTTTTATATCCCATATGGCCCATACCTAATATTAATAGTTTGGGAGATAATTAGGGTTTTTTGAAAAATGCACACATATCATATGGATATTTAGCCTAGTGTGCCATGAAAAACAAGCCTTCTCAATGAGTTCTTGTCAAAGACTCACTTGTTTACGTCACTTGATGCATGTGAGCTAATAATTATCTGTTATGTCCCTTAATATTAGTACTGAAACGAGTTAAAATCGATAACAATAACGAAAGTAATATTTACACAAATCAAGAAATTCTTAATTTATTTTTTTTGCATGAAAAGCGCGACAAAGTTCGTAGTATGATTCCCAGATCTTCTTTGGCAGCTCGAATTGAGGTGTTGGGACTGGGCTCGAAATAAGCCAAGGTATTCACCTCTTCCGTTGCATTATCTACTACATTTTTTGGTCAGTTTAACACGTGATTAATTCGTCCAAAATGCAAAAAATTTGCTTCTATTCCTCTAAATTTACCTTTTGTCATCGGAGATAAATGTGGATAATTTTCATTAAACATTCTGCAAGTTCTACTAAGAACTTTGTCGCACTTTTCGTGCACAAAAAATAAATTATGGATTTCTTCATTTGTATAAACATTATTTACGTTATTAATATCCATTTTAACTGGTTTTAGACTCACAAGCATCAAACAACGTAAATCAGACTTTGACGTTTGTCAATAAGTCATTAAACATTTGTTTTCCATGGCACACTAGGTTAATATCCTTATATGTGAGCATTTTTCAAAAAACCCTAATTATTTCTCAAACTATTAATGTTAGGCATAGGACATATGGAATTTAAAAGAATTAAAATGAGACGCCGAAGACGACTAAGCAACAAAATATGGGGCGTGCCATTTAAAAAAATGAAGTTATGGTACTTCCAAATTTCGAAACGTTAACGTGCCATAGTAAAGTGACCAAACGTTCTAGACAGCCGTTCTCGGCACCAAAACACACTCCATCATGTTGCTTAAGCATGTTCTGAATCCTAAACTGATATCTCAAAAATCGAGTATTCTCTGATTTTTTGAACAAATGTCTGCTGGAGCAGATTTTTCTAGAAAAATTCGAATAACTCGAGAACGGCCTAATCAAATTAAAAAAAGTAAAGTAATTTATAAACCTTGAAAACAGACAAATCCAAACATGTAAAAATATACAGGCTGTTCCATTTAAAAAATAAAGTAGGTGGCGACTTCCGGTATAACCGGAAGTGTAAGAAATCTGAAAATATTTTAGTCGAAGAGATCGTAATTGATAATACTTAAGTCTGAATTCTCAAATTTTTATTTTCGCCAGAACCCAAGAAACGTCTAATGACCGGTCTCGCTGAGACACCCTGTATATGATTTAAAATTTGAGAGAAAGATTGTTAGCAACCTTAAAAATAATTTTTACTCAAATGCATATTTGTATAGTAAAAATATTTTAAGTAACCTAAAACTTAATCATGTATTTATCGTTTGATAAATAGTTTATATAATCTCTTTAGACTATGTTATCGCAACTCTGTATTAATCTTACAATAAACTGCAGATGTAAATACGGAATTTACAGTGGGGTTATCTCCGTATTCTGGAATAACC